CGATCGCCTACCCGGCCCGCCGGGGGCTGCGATGACACGGCGAGGCGGCCTCACTCACTCCCTCCCTCCGCTCCGCCCTGCCCTGCCCGGGAGGCTACCCCGCTCCGCCTACCGCTCTCCGCCGGCCCCGCCGCCCTCCTGGGGCCAGCCGGCGCCGCGCACCTCCCCTTCCGCGGGCGCCTGGGGCCTGCGGGCGCCGCCGGGAAGGGCCGAGGGCTCGGCGGCGGCTGGGGGAGGGCCCGCTGTGGCGGCAGCCGGTGCCGCCCCTCAGCCGGTGTCCGCCAGGGCTCTAGCCCCGGCCTAGGCCCTACATCGGAGGAAAGCCTTTACCACCGTTCTCTGAGGGGAAATGGGTCCTTCACCTTCATTTTCTCTGCCCCCATAGGTGGATGTTCAGAGGAGCCCACTGGGCTGGGGGAGACCTGTGGTTCACCTGTGCCTTCCAGCCTTTCACACCTCTTTACACTTCAGGCGGTCCCTCAGAGGTGCTTCATGTGATGGGCCCAAGAGGCAGTGCCTTTGCCTTGGTCTGGGCTCCTGGTCTGGAAGGGAGAGAGGGAACTGCAGGCAATGAAGCTGAAGCTCAGGTCTCCCTTGCGTGAGGGGCAAACCAGCCATCCTGTGATTCTGTGAACGATGCCGGCTCTGTTTTCTTATTCAGGATCTAAAAATGCTAGTGTCTTCCTAAGCAAAAGCAGAGACGGCAGAGCAAAGGCCCATGACTGCCCTAAATACCTTATTTTTAAACCACATGGAGGCAAAATGTGAACACCTCCAAGTACCAGGAGATCCGTAACACCAAAGGGAAGCACATCTGAAGCGATGGGCCCAATGTCAGATTTAAGTTGCCTGGGCTGGAATATTTACTGCCTATGCTTCAGGTGGGGAGAAAATCTAGTGGAAAAGTAAGAACTCCCTGGGCATGGATCTCCTGGGAGAGGACAGGTGTGGTATTTGAGGTGTTGCTGCAAGATGTCCTCTTGTAACTGTGGCCATGCTAGCTCAGGAGCTTACTGCTTCTCTGTGCTCATCATTGCTCTGTTAGAGGCTGCTAAGGGTTAGCTGACCTGTTCATGGGCTGGCAAAAAAAGCCCTACTGTTTAAAGTGATTAACTGATTATCTTCTTCCCTGAAATGAAATGAGAAGCCAGGTTGGTAGATCTGAGTAGGCATGACCAACAATGACTGGGGATTGGTGGCAGTAACCTCTTCAACAGTGCAAGTACCGCCGAAGGAAGACACAGAACTACACCTTGGGTGGTAAATAGCCTGCAGAACACTTCTTGTGTAGTTTTGTGTCCGTTAGGACTACACCACAGCTGTGTAGCCAGCTCCAGGTGTGCCCTATCCATGTACATTCAAAGAACGAGTAACAGAAGCCTCAGTTCAGATGTTATCACGCTATCACCTCTATCACCTTCTGTTTCTCACTGGGAGGAAGGCAGCGTGGCCTTCAGCCTCAGCATGCCAGAGGCTGGCAGAGATGGACTTCCACGTCTTTTCAGTCTTCCTGTATGACTTCAGCAAGGCCTCAATTTCTCAATCTGTAAAAAGGGAGCAGTTTTTAATCACTGAATAAGGCTGCTGTGAAGTTAAATTAATTTCTGCAGGTAAAGAGGGTTGCGTCCTTTGAAGGCAGGTGTTAAACAAAAGCAAAGATTTATTCCTAAAGGAACATGATAGGTCCATTTGAACTTTGTTCAGGAGACGGCAGTATTTTTCGATTAGTAGCTTTTGGCAGGGGGAGAAATTGCACAGGTGACCTCAGGGAAGTAAACTTCAGGAAGGTGTGTGTGAAGGCATTCATGCTCTCGCTAACGTTATTGTAAATCTTGATCCTTTAATAAAGCTGTGACCTTGGAGTTGACAACTAGTGTATGCCACGGAGCAATATATAGCACCAGCCTTGTAAATCTTACGTAGTTTTTGCCATTGACATAGAAAACATGTAAAGAGAAATCAGGCAGCTGAAGTTTATGAAACGCATTTATGTGAAGGAAAGCATTTTAAATCAGAGTTTTTTGATGAAATGAAACCAACGGCCCTGCCAGCATTTTATTCCTCGTGATAAAACGTGTTTGTGAAATGAAATCTCAACAGTGAAAACTTGCAGAGCTGCTCATAAGATTTTGACACTTGCAGGGGGCAGCTCCCACACAAGAGGTACATTTGTGATCACCTTTGCGCAGCTGTTGTACAACTTTGTATGACTACTTTTTGTATAGCTCTTATTCCGGTTGCTTTCTTGACAACACTGCTGCTGTTGGAAGAACAGCACATCTTGCCAACGTGAAAAGGACAGGGATTTGTTCTATGGGAGCAATCAAAGATGGATGTGTGCAGAAGGGGAAAGAGAGAAAGCAATGTAACTGCAGGGGGAATGGGAAGTTCTTGAAGCCATAGATCCAATAACTTTTTCCCTATATTTTTTGGCTACTTCTCTTTGGCAGACAAGATTTATTTTTTTTTACTTAAATGTTCCCACAAATTCCACCCTATGGAGCAGCATTGTCATCATTCTGACTGAGGAGATTTCATAGAATCATAGAATGCTTTGGATTGAAAGGAACCTTAAAGTCCATCCAGTTGCACCCCCTGCCATGGGCAGGGACACCTCCCACCAGACCAGGTTGCTCAAAGCCCCACCCAGCCTGGCCTTGAACACCTCCAGGGATGGGGCATCCACGACCTCCCTGGACAATCTGTTCTGGTGTCTCACCACCCTCACTGTAAAGAATTTCTCCCTAATATCTAATCTGAATCTCCCATCTTTCACTTTAAAACTGTTACCCCTCATCCTATCACTATTCCTCCTGATAAGGAGTCCCTCTCCACCTTCCCTGTAGGCCCCCTTTACGTACTGGTAGGCTGCTAGAAGGTCTCCCCAGAGCCTTCTCTTCTCCAGGCTGAACAACCCCAACTCTCTCAGCCTGTCTTCATAGGAGAGGTGCTCCAGCCCTCTGATCATTTTTGTGGCCCTCCACTGGACTCACTCCAACAGGTCCATGTCCTTCTTATGTTGAGGACCCTGGAGCTGGATGCAGTACTCCAAGTGGCATCTCACCAGAGCAGAGCAGAGGGGCAGAATCACCTCCCTGGACCTGCTGGCCACGCTTCTTTAGATGCAGTCCAGGATGCTGTTGGCTTTCTTGGCTGCGAATGCACATTGCTGGCTCATGTTGAGCTCCTTATTCACCAACAGCCCTAAGTCCTTCTCCTCAGGGCTGCTCTCCAGCCATTCTCCTCCCAACCTGTATTTGTGCCTGGGATTGCCATGTTCCAGGTGCAGGACCCTGCACTTGGCCATGTTGAACTTCATGAGGTTTGCACGGGCCCACCTCTCGAGCTTGTCCAGGTCCCTCTGGATGGCATCCCTTCCCTCCAGCATATGGACCTCACCACACGGGACCTGCTGGCCACGCTTCTTTAGATGCAGTCCAGGATGCTGTTGGCTTTCTTGGCTGCGAATGCACATTGCTGGCTCATGTTGAGCTCCTTATTCACCAACAGCCCTAAGTCCTTCTCCTCAGGGCTGCTCTCCAGCCATTCTCCTCCCAACCTGTATTTGTGCCTGGGATTGCCATGTTCCAGGTGCAGGACCCTGCACTTGGCCATGTTGAACTTCATGAGGTTTGCACGGGCCCACCTCTCGAGCTTGTCCAGGTCCCTCTGGATGGCATCCCTTCCCTCCAGCATATGGACCTCACCACACGGCTTGGTGTCATTGGCAAACTTGCTGAGGGTGCACTCTATCCCACTGTCCATGTCTCCGGCAAAGATGTTGAACAGCGCTGGTCCCAGTACTGACCTCTGAGGTCCTCTGAGGAACACCACTTGTCACTGGCTTCCACTTGGACATTGAGCCGTTGATTTCATTCCCAAAGAGAAAGGAAAGCAGCTTTCCCACGTACGTGAAACACTGAATCTTTCTCTTCCCAAAAAGGAGCCACTTTCTGATTCCAAGAAAAACAGTAAAGACCTAAAGTCTATTAGGATTTTCCTTGTTAACACGTTAACCTACATTAGTCACTGTACATGCTTCTATGCATGAACATGAATTTTATTTTTTTACAAATCAACTGCATCTTTGAAAGATACTATATTATAATGTACCTGTAAAAAACCCCATACATACTGGGTTTTAATTTACATCGTAAGAATTCAGGCTAGTTAAAAGATGCTGTTGATCTCTTGAATGATTTTCTATTTTTTTATTATAAACACAATATTCACTTTCTGCTGTCCTTTCAAGATGGCTTTCACTTACTAACTTCGCTAATTTTGAGTCTCATCTTGTACTATAAGTGGAAACTTAGGTGCAGCCTTATGGGGTCAGTCCTGCTGTCCTTGTCAGCAGGCAGTGTGCCTGATACTGTTTGGGGCAGGTGGGGGGTCGTTCCAATGTATTTGGTCCCGTAGCATGTGAAACGCCGTTGTTTGTCATCTGCCTCCAGCACTGAACTGTCATCATCAACACACAGGAGACTGGCCTCCTCCTGGAACGGAGCTGCAAATAGGAGAAGCTGCTGTGGAAGCCAGTGTTCCTGTGTTCTGGACTAGCAGCGAGTTCAGGACCATTGTGTTTTAAGTAGAGAAACTGACAATATTTACTTTTATCCTTACAAAAAAACCCAAACAAACATTTTTTAAATTAAAATGAAATGTAATTTAAAAAAAAAAAAAAAAAACAACAAACAAACTTAAAAGCAAAACAATACTTAAGAAGAAAAAACAAAACAACATTTTTAGGTCCACTCAGGTTACTAACACTCCATTAATTGCAAAAGGCTAAATTTTGATGACTGTGTTTATTTATGGAACATGTTCTTCCACTCTTGCGGTAGTTGTTATGTGACTCACATGCTCATATTCTAAGAATGACCCATCCAGAACTCTTTCAACAAGAACTTCTTCAACAATGTTTATGTCCTGAAAGAAAAAAAAAAAAAAAAAAAAAGATATTATCAAGGTAGTAATTAATGCTTTAGTAGATATAATTTTGAGTGCTTGGGTTACCAGTAAACAAAATACCAGTTTCAGTGGGTTTCCATCCATGTTTAAAGTTTACTGCCTGACTTTCTACTCCTTAGTGGTAAACACTGCAACATAAAGCATGAGAAATCATTATGGAGTTTGAAATAAATGAGAATGTCAAATGCAGAAACCAATTAATTCAGTGATTACGCAAAACGCAACAATGCCAATGCTATGTACTAAAGAGTCCAATTTGGTGATGCATATTATATTACTGTGTATAGAAATAAATACTTATGTCCTAGCTATACTTTATGAAGCTATATATGGGTGATCTATCATTAAAATGCTATCATACATAGGTCTGTTTCTGCCATGTGCATGAGTTATAGGTTCAAATTATTAAGATGGTTCTTCACCCCTGCCCTCCTTGTGGACATAATTTTCTCTAGAGCTTTTGCCCGTTTAAAAAAAAGAAAAAAGTTATATGTCTGTCTTTGGGATTTTGGCTGGATAAGCATGAAATATAAATATAGGAAAGCACTAATTGATATTCTTGAAAAATTATAGCAGCACACTAATGCTTGTGCTGCATTTTCTATTTTACAGCCCACTCAGGCAGCAAACAGCTGCAGCACCTTTCAGAAGTAAGACTTGTATGTATGGCTTGTTGAAACAACTTTTGTTTAAAGTACATAGGTTTTCATTTGACAGTCTCCAAGTCAAGTAAAAACATGAGTTAGACGCATGATACCTGTTAAGAAATGAGGTACCGGAGTACCTTTCCCTTGTCCCACCATTAGACAGCAACAGAACTGAGGACAAAATCCGTAAGTTGGCACCTCTGAGTACCAGACCGTGCTGTTTCTGTACACATGGCAGATACTTTGTGACTTTGTGGTGCAGTTACCTGCTCAGTGCTTTTCATGACTTCTGGATTGTAAAAGGTGTGGAAGAAGATACACATAAAGAAATCAAGTCCAGCAGTTTGCAAATACCATTGCTCACTCTGTAGCCTTCATAATGGAGCGTATGTCTGAGCTGAAGATGTCTTACAAAATTTCTGCTGAAATAGCTTGGGCCTCTCCCAGGTGTTAAACAACAAATTGGACAACGCTATAAAGAAATGGAAGGAAGTATCCAATTTTCATCTTGGAGTTCTTACAGAAGAAATATTATTAGTGTTCAAAAAAAAACCCAGAAATGTGAACTAAGTGGATCTGTTATGGCCAAATGGTGTTCTCTGAGCAAGATGAATACTGCCAGGCACAGTGCACTGTCAGATCAACCGTCAGTTATGCTAATTCCAGCTGTGGAATTCGTGTCTGCAGACATCCCAAGGACTGTCAACCTATACAGATCTCATGGTTAAAATATTCCCCCCTAATGACTACAAGAGAACTGTTATGCAAAAGCATTTGCTTTATCCAATACAAAATTTGTTTATCATCCAAATCCATTTGTTTATCATTCAAATAATAAAGTAATAGCAAATAGTCCACTTGTTTATCATCCAAGCCACTGTTTGGATGAAAAAGTGCTACACGAAACACACAGGGTTTCTCTGGTCATCAATAACAAATTAATTCATCTGTGTGCTTACAATGGTGCCTAAAACGCTTCATTACAATAAAAGCTGAATTACTTCCTGTGGGTTCTCTGTAATATAAAAGTTGCAGTTGCTGCAACGTTTATTTCTTCAAGCAATATCATGAGAACACTGTGTGTATGTTAAAAAGATGATTATCCTGGAATACACCACATGCTAATATGCTATGTGTAGACTAAAACCACCTTTATGACTTGTTCTGGTAATGGACATCATGATACAACACGCCAAAATATCCTATGCCTTTCTTAGAACTAAAAGTCTGATGTGTTTATTCTAAGTTTGAAATAAAACGGTTGAACCAGCTGTGCCAAGTCACTTTTTCAGGTACTCCTGAAATCCTGAAACAGTTGCTCCAAAAGTATTTCAGAATTAAAGGGAAGGGTCAGTGTGTCAGTAGCAAACAACAAAGTGCACGTCTTGGCATGTTCACTCTCTTTGCCTTGTGCTAACGATGTGGTGTCTACAGTTTATAAACCAACAAAAGCATTTATGAAACCACTATGACTTAAAATAACACATTTTCATTTCCCTGCTTATAATTTTTACTTTATTGGTAGGCAAACATAGTTCTGAATATTGTTTTTCACATTAGGTTTCAAAGAAACGTGCAACGGAGGCTGTATAATGCATATTACTCACAAGTCTCTCAGGATCAGTTTGTCTCTGCAACTCTGAATTGAGCGAAGGATTTAATAATTTTCTGTTTTAAGGCTTAATTCTGCCCTACAGCTGCACAATACAGCTATTTATGAATTTGCCCTAAGTGAAAAAATAAGAGCTTATGGACTGATAAGTGTGATAAAAATTATTGACAATTATTTCCATTCACCAAAGTAAATACAGAGTCTAATCTGAAAAATACAAAATTTGGCAAAGTGTTATACATTAAAGCATGAACTCAGACAAAGGTGAACACAGTATACACTCTGAGTGAGTGCTTTCTTTCATTTAGTTGGAGCTTTGGCTCCATGATAGCTTAATATGATCATGGTCAATGTGATGAAAAGTAACCTGCGATGTAAAAGAGAACAGAGCGGGTTTCCCCCATCCCACCAGCTGTGGGAAATGAAAGCCTGGGTTGATTTGTCTACAAGTCCTTCAGTCTCTAACCTCTCCAAAACACCTCTTCCGAGTGTAAAATGCCTTGGCAAATAACGATCAGGGAAGTAAATTACTCTTGTCGAGGTCTGAGTCTACACCCTGTGGACCTCAGTCCGACAAACAGGGTCACAGTAAGACCTTGCAGCCTCCGCGGACCTTCAGAATGAAGCCGTTTCTGTGAAGTTATATTAACTTAAAAAAAAAAAAAAAAAATTAACCCCCCCACTATGACAGACTCCAATATAAGGCCACACAAGCAGTTCTAAAATGATAACCTCAAAACCCAAATGAGAATACACAGCAAATGCTGCACATAAATCTGAGTTAAGGCAGTAGAAATAGCATGTGTGGGATTTAAAAGCAGGCAAGTCACTGAACCTAATAATGCTCATCGTCCTGGCTGTAAGTAGCTCTTCGCTGTATCCTTCGTAAGACTTCCTATACCATTTTCAGTGCTTCTACCAGCGCTCACAATGATAGGAGTGCTAATATTTTAAATGCTATGTGCATATATGCTTGTCTGAGAGAGATGGGGAGAGGGAATGAATATAGGTACATTTTTTCTCCACTGTCAAAACCAAGTAACAATTAATATATTTTCTCTTCGTCTACTATCTCCTATCAGTTATGCTTGCTGGAATTAATCAGTTTAACATGTGAATTCAGTAAAATATGTACATTACGATTGCTCTCCTTTCTGATCTGTGGTGAGACAGTGGTCCATCAGCTCATCCTCATTTACTTCTCACTGGCAATAAGGGCAGGAGTATCCGGGAGTACTACTTAGTTTTCAGTACAGAGTATGGTCTTGTTGCATGGTGGAGACACTGTTTTCAGGTTAGTGCAGTTTTCAAGTGTGTGGGTGGATAAAAAGTCAAGTTTTTCTGATCATCAGAAGAACAGTAACTAATAAGGAGATAGGTCTTCTAAGCAAGCAGCTTGAATAATGTGTCACTTAGGAATTCAAATGGCAAAGAGTATAGGGACTTTAAATTGCATAAATCAAAAAAGCATTTTAGTAATGATGATATCAAAATTGCTTCCAATTGTTAATGGACAAAGCTAAAGCCTGTTGAACTTCAAGACCTCACTCATTCTAGAATTGCTACATGCCTAATTGGTTGGTCTAACACGTCCTGCCCTCAAAGAGAATGAAAGGCACAAAGAATTTGAACTTTTTACATATAACACACATGTATTCTGTAAATATATATATTTTTTTTTCTATATATGCCATATCAATAAGAAAAGCTGTCCGTCTTCTTAACTCAAAACTGTTTCCAAAGAATGGATTATTAGAAGAGAACCAATAACATGTATATTATTATTAGTCTTCATTCTGAAAATAAAATATTTCAAGGAGTTTTGTTTGAAAGTAATATAAACATAATTTTCACCCAAGAAAAATAGCAAAAACTGCTGACTTGTCAAAATACAGTTGTTTCTACAAAACACGGAGCTAAATTCTATCAAAATCATACTAACTACAAGTAAAACACTATTTTGTAGTCATACACGAAAAACCAATTAGCGCCCATTTTAAGTACTATTTGACCATCATAATGCTGGTGGAGTTTCCCTCTTAGACATGGCCTTAAAAAGGTATCTTAATAGTGTTAGTTGTTGTGCATGGATACATCTCTGGAATTGTTTAGTAATTAGCGTTCAAGGTTGCAAACCTGTGTTTCACATTCTGTGCAGTATTGGCATGTGCTCTCAATTTTCTTGGCATTATCAGTAGCTGGAATTCCTTCAGAAGGAAGATAAGCGCGGCCGTAAGGGCATGTACACGCATTGTTCTTTGAACTTGCAGAAATACAGGAATGACAGTATCCGTACATAGAAAGAAACAAAACCAAAGGTGGTAATTCCCCCAAAACATGCTTCAGATAAGGCAGGGTATATAAAAAAAAGAATGAAAATTTTGCACAACGTGAGATCCCTGGTGTTACACCACAGGATATTTGTTCTTCTCAGGATGTACTGTTAAGAAGATGGTGGGTATTGTTTCTGCAGCACTACTTGTGTTAAGCAGAGTAGTAAAAAAGGACAAGCTGAGCATCCTATCCTGGTAGCACTGAAACGTATGTGACTGTGAAGACTCGTTTCAGAGCAGAAGCAAGGAACCCATCCCCAGTGGGGGGATGTGGGCCAGCAAAGCCTGCACTCCATCATTCCAAAACTTGCCATCACAGAAAAGATTATTTCTTTTTGGTAGTGTACCTTCCTGTAAGTCTTCCTAAGCTCATAAACAGAAGAACGCCCTATGCTGCTCCTATGACGGACAAGAATCCAGGTTGTTAAGATGAGGTAATTTCCCCTGCACACGACAAAGTCAGGAGTTGGAGAAGGACACCCTGAGGTTTGAGCAACAGTCGCAGGGGAAGTGTCAGGCTGTTGTGTGATCAGCAGTTTGCTGACCTGCCCATCACAGGGTTTGGGCTGGGTAAAGGCATGCCTACCTCTGGGAGCATCTTACCCACTTCACTTCTCTGGTTTTAGGAACAAAACCAGATTGGGTTAGCAGTTACTCTAGCTGCTTTTGAAAGCTTTTTTTTGGTTACGGATATGACAGATAAGCTTTGGTGAATTTGCTTCACTATCTGAGCACCCTTGCAAAGCCCCAGTGCTAATGGGATAGGAGACATCCGTCCTGTCCTTTGCATTAGATTATGGCTCCCCATCATTGAGATAGGGATCTGAAGGGTCTCAGTGGAGTGATAGCCTGAGGCAGCAAGAAGGACACTGACTGCCGGCCCCTCTGGCTTCAGAGGAGCTAGAAGGAGCTGCTGTGCCAGACTGCAACCCGCAGTGAGCACATGGATGGCTCTGGGTGTGGGCAGACAGCAGGCATAAGGGTGAGGAGGTGGCAAAAGTCCTTGCTCCTCTACCATAAATCTGCACTTGTGCCCCTCTGCTAAGTGCCACAGCCCTGCAGCAGGAGCAGCAGGAGCAAACTTGTGTCTGCAGCCCAGCTGCATGAATGCAAAATTTCACTTAAATAAACTGCTGAATTTGCACCGAAACAGTTAAGGAGCAGGAACATCTTCCTTTTTTGCCAGTTCCGCTTGGAGATTTAAACGCAGTAGCTTCCAGAAGAGAGCAACCTAAAACCATAGATCACTGTGGCCCTGATGAGCAGATGACTGAAACCAGCGAGTACCAGTGGCCATGCTGTGCCAATTTAGGATGTTGCTACTCACACCCTCCTGTGCTGCCCCTTTGTTGAATCATAGAATCATTTAGGTTGGAAAACACCCTTAAGATCACCAAGTCCAACCATAAACCAAACGCTACCCACCCCTGTTTCTGTCTCCTCTCCCAACCCTCCAGCCCAGCAGAAGGTATCATGTGCTTATCTCTCTAAAACTTCTCAGTTTGGCATTTTAGTGCAAATCCACCCGCTTTCCCAGTTGCTAAAACACTACCCTATGCACCACAGCTGCTAAGTCACAAATCCGCATCGCCCCCACCAACTCCGATATGTAGGTAGCAACTCCAGCAGAGGAATGGAGTTGGAAGCTGAGGTAAAACCTTCTTAAGCCACTGTGAAACAACTTGCCAAACTTGCCAGTGCACTCTGCAACAGCATTTCTGACATACTTAACAGCCTCCGATCGATCTATGGGAGGATTTCAGATGTAATCTCTTCTCTGTAAGCCTTTTTCATATCTGGCTCCACGGAGCCACATAAAATACGATCAAAGCCTGAGTCAGACAGAAGGTGGTATTTTGCAGTTACTTCACAGAAGTATAAATGATTACACAAAGTGCAAAGAGAGTACAGCCAAGACCCAACACGCTCCCTGTCCAAGGATAAACTCTGAATTGTTGTACACAGCTTGCCCTCAGGCAGGTTTTAATTTAAGATTATTCCTGTACTTTAAGACAGGGTTGAAAAGGTTTCTTTGTTTGCCTGAGGAACAGAAGAGTCTTCTATAAATAACCCTGTGCAAGGTTCACACGTGCTGTCTGAAAGCTTTCCCCCTTTCATGTCACAAAATATAAAATCAGATTACCCTTTGCCAGTTTGTTAGCCCTCCCTCTAAAATTGTCAGTAGCCAGAAAAAAGGGTAATATAAAGGATACAAGGGTTGGCAAAGAGCAACTAAACCCATGCATTATGCACAAATAGTCTGTCCTTATTAGTCAGTGATTTATTCTATTGATTATAAAAACAATTTGCAAGAATTTCAGGTTCAACAGCAAAAACCCTTCCACCTTTAACCCAATTTATCACTCTGCTTTATTTGCTCAGTCTGTACCTAAACAGGTAAAACAAATAAACAAACTGAACTTTAAATGGTTCAGGTAGGTGAAATAAAACCAGAGCATCTCAGGATATTAACCCTTAAAATTGCTAAAGCCCTACTCCCCTTCTGCTTAGCCTCCAAGCACTTGCCTCAAGTCTCTGGTTAGAGGCTGCACAACACTTCTCCAATCCCACAAACGCTAATATATTACTTCTTGAAGACACTAAATGTGCTGTAAACAGTTGTATTTTTGGATGTACATACAGGCGTATGTCTCACCTCGGGAGCACATCATTTTCCAGGACCTGTGACCTGGAATAAATAATAAAAACAAGCCTCACTATGTGAATAGCAGAAAAGGTCTTTCAGGTCCCTTCCAATTCTAACCATTCTATGATTCTATTTTTTAATAGAATCGTAGATTCTATTAAATAGAATAGGTGCAGCTACTTGTCTGGATTATTGTTGAGAAGGAACTCTGCAAAGTTGCCTATGGTTTCTGAGGCCAACAAGTTGCCCTGGAAACTAAGAATGGGCTCAAAAACATGCTAAGAAGCCTTTTATCCCTTTTTTTTTTTTTCCCCCCCTTTCTGTCTTTTTTTTGTTTTTTTATTCTTTCCAAAATTAGTCCCCAACACTGGCTTAAGCCATACTTTTGACTGCTGTTATCACTAGGAGGATGCCTGTGCCAGGTGCCACATATGTAAAGGGAGCCACTAGCAGATTGGTGAGAGGCTGATTTTTCTTGACGTGTTCTCTCACATCACAGATCCCTGTGCATAAACCTTCTCTGCCCGTAGTGGAAATGACTGCTGAAGCCAAGGGAGAATCCTGGAAGGAGTTGAACTTGTACAAGCATGACACGGTGGGTGGCCATAATGCAGCTGTGAAAGCAACCTACCAAAGCAACTGTTGGGTTATTTTTCCTTTTGATGAATAGAAATAAAAGCAGATTTCTTCTAGGTGTCCCCAGGTATGTGAACACCTGAAGAACAAAGGTAGTATTCCCACTTTTTCCTGCAAGTACCAGAAACTTTATGATACATTTGGTAATGCACATAACTGAATTGGGATCTGTCCAGGTTTTTCTCATTTGGCTAAAAGTTGTATCTGCTCTATTAGGTACAGTTGGAACAGCTTTCAATATCTTTTGGGCACTGCATTTTTTATTATGACAGATTATGACTTTTTTTCTGTAATAATGAGGAAATTTGAATATAGAATCGGAAAAACCTATATCTGGGCATGTCTCCATATATGTATATATTCTCCAGCATCCAATGTATTTTCTGTAACTTAATATTTTTACAGAAGCAAAGTCAAGTATGACCCACTTTTGAGTAAGAAATAAAAAGGGAAATGCAGTAGATTTGGCAGCTCCAAGATGAAAGCATCAGCAAGTTTGGTACCTTTCAGTTTGTATCTGGCCTGCAGTAAAACTAGTAATCTCCTGTCAAAGTGATTTGCTTGGAAATTTCCATCACAGATGTGGTTTAGGAGGAAGATATCACCATTTTCTGGGCCCGAACTCTGCAGTGATGATTATCTCATATAAACCGCTTTTGCAGTCATGTTATTAACTTGCCAAATCAAATATGTAATGACAACAGGAGGACAGCGATATTTCCTGTGCTTGCTATTTACTCTATGCTACCTCACTGATGCATAATAAAAGCAGTTCTAAGAAGAATTATGTCTCATCTTAGGTAAAACCCACAGAAATCAGGACAGCGGTATGCATTGTTACAGAAACTGCAAGTCTGTTCCAGCATATGTGAAATCTTGTCAGTCAGAATCAAGTCACCGAATTTCCTCTGTCAGCTGTGGGTTTTCTTTAGTATCAAACAAATCACGAGGAAAATAGTAATACTATGCCACTGGCTGAACTCTAATTTTGCCTATTGCTGGGTTACATTTGGTGTCACTTGTTTAAGATTTAGATCTGAATTATACCCAAATTGAATTTCTTTGCATGTCATTGCATTAGTAATATAATGTGATAAAATGTCATTAGCCACTGTAAGACAATTAAGTGTAAAGGTTATACAAGGAAATCAATCAGGGACTAAAAGTGTAGGGTTTTTTTTCTGGTAATTCACACACATTTAAAATCTGACAAGGTAAGTATGAATAATGTATGAAAAACATTAAATCATGAAGGATAAAAGTAAAATGCTTTTAAAAAAGGCATAGAAAACACAAATAAGCCCTTAAATCCATGTCAATAATATGTGAAAATAAAAATGGCATTGCCATCCTTGACGTATGGAGAATGGAATTCTCACGAAGACAGCAGCAAAAATGCATTGAAATTTTAGGAATTACTGACAATGATTTTCCAGTACCAAGTAGGTGACACACACACAGACACAGCCATGGTGGGCAAAGGTTATACAAGGAAATCAATCAGGGACTAAAAGTGTAGGTTTTTTTTTCTGGTAATTCACACACATTTAAAATCTGACAAGGTAAGTATGAATAATGTATGAAAAACATTAAATCATGAAGGATAAAAGTAAAATGCTTTTAAAAAAGGCATAGAAAACACAAATAAGCCCTTAAATCCATGTCAATAATATGTGAAAATA